ATATAATATAATATAATATAATATAATATAATATAATATAATATAATATAATATAATATAATATAATATAATATAATATAATATAATATAATATAATATAATATAATATTATATAATATAATATAATATAATATAATATAATATAATATAATATAATATAATATATTAAGCATTAGAATATATTAAGCTTTTACATATAAAATATAGAAAAATATTTTAAATTGTAATAATATTTCACAGTATAAGTTTTTTTTACTGTATTTTTGATCAAATAAACGCAGCCTTAGTAAACAGAATAGACTTCTTTCAAAAACTTTAAATACAATCTGACCATCTTAAATTTTTTGAATGACAGTGTATAACTCTGCAATAAATAAATAAAAATAATAATAATAATAATAATAAGTATTATTATTATAAAAAATTAAAAGTGCTTTACAAAATGCAATACTGCTATAGTGGTACAATGGTATGATCAAGATGATCATAAATATTAACCACATTCTTTGCAACATCATGGTGCCTATCCAAAATAATATGGTGTTACCACAGTACCAGATCCAAAAATATCCCAGTATCAGTAACACATTAGATTAGGGAACACTATGCACTATTAACTAGTTGCTTATTAGCATGCATACTACGAGCATATTAGTTGTTTAATAGTACGTATAAAGCAAATATTAATGCATGACATATTCTACTACAACTACCTAACTTACTATCAATAAATAGCAAACTCAGAGTTTGTTGATGGAAAACTCTGGTAACAATTTACTTAAAGCCTTTATGTATAATGCATTATAAAGTGTTATTAAAGGGTATAATGCATTATAATTATTCATAATGTGTTGTAATACATTATATCTTGTTGTAAATAATTATGACTGAATTTAAAATGTTTAGTGTAACAATGAATTAATAAGTGTTATAATGTATAACTGTGGTTACAATGATTCATGAGATTGTACAATTTATTATAATGTGCATTGCAACGCATAATTAATGCATTAAAACTACTTTTATAATGCATTATATATAAAGGCTTTAAGTAAAGTGTTATATGTGCTCCCTAATCTAAAGTGTTCCTCTACTACCATTTTGATTCTTGATGATAGACTGATGCGAATAGGTATCACCGTCTCTGTGTTTGTGTTTCAGATGGCAGCAGTACATTGCACCGGCCGCAGCCTCTGCCGCCTTCCTCCATGCACCAGGGCGGACTCTCGGCCGACAGTAGCTCCGCCTATGGCCTCTCATCCAACCGCCACACCTTCTCCAGCTATTCAGAGACTTTTATGAGCCCGTCAGCTACAAGCAACCACATGAATCCCGTGAGCAACGGCCTTTCGCCACAGGTTAGTGCAGAGGCCTCTTTCTAATGTGAGAACGATGAATGAACGCCAGCATGGTTCACAGATCAAGAGCATTGTCGAGTTAAGCTAGCATCCGCTGCTTGTGTGGAAACAGAAATTATGGAGAAATTAAAGTGGGCTTTTCTTCTTCTTTTTCATAGCTCGAAAACATTGTAATCATTCCCAAACCTTTGCAGATTTTATATCAGAAACCATAAGAATGAAATGGCTTTCATTTTACTTTCATAATGTGATGTATTTCAGAGTAAAAGCAGATTATAAGGAAGAAAAGGGTGGTGATTTGGAACTTGATTTTGTCTTTTGGAATTGATGGATCGTCTGAATACCTATTTAGCTATTGGATGGCATTTTTCAGAACAATAAAGTAAATACTATCATGTCCATGTTGACTTTAAGGTTAAATAGACTGTGTATACATTTAAATCTATATATAGTTTTTTGGGGGGTGAAATTTATGTTGCTTTGGACAGTTTTGTCAGTGAACATTTATATGTGTACATGAGAGTGAGTAGGTGCCATTTGACAGGAATTGCTATGTTTCTGTGTTTATTTCTTGTTGCGTGTCCTGTCTGGATTTGTGTTGCTGTGGTTGTGTTTTTGTCAAATTTTCCCAGTTATCCCCATTAATGAGTATTTAGGTTGACTTTCTCCAGAAATGGTTCTGTCTTAAATGCCCACCATTAAAAAAACATGCGTATTGATGCAAATCGCATGCAAGGAGTGAATTATACGCAATTATCCATCAATACTGGGCAGTCTTGCCGACCCTCACCAACAAGATGTGGCTAACAAGCATAAAATAAGATTGCAATGGTGTGTAAAGAGTTGAAAATGAATTTCAATGCTGCATTTGTCCACAATTACCCTTTCGTTCACACATGTTTTATTGGGGGTTTCCTTTTCTCTCCCCATTGCTCTCTCAAAGCAGATTGAGAAACATTCTCAGTATTAGCCTCTTTTTTCCAGAGAAGAAAGAATTAAGGATTTGGTGACAAAAAAGAGCTTTTCCCCTCGTAACTACAACGTTGGAAGGATAACATGGGCGTCTTACAGTGAGAGAGATTGTTAATCGTGGCACAGGGACTTTGAGCACTAATGCCTTCGCTCCAAACCTCCGTAAATACCAGCAGACATGGAGGTCTTTTTTCTATTAATGGGAGCATTTGACACTGGAGAGACGCTGCCTCTTGCTTCCTTCTCAGCTGCGCTTAAACACTTTCTCCTAATAAATAATGAATGTTTTTTATCTAATGCCATGGATCAGGTCCGCAGGCTTTAAATAGAGAAAACAAAATTGATTTCAATTATCTATTGCTTTTCGATTGCTATGTTTAGAATTTTTTAGCATTATATTTCAGTATACTGCCACTTATAAGTTTCATTGCTTGTTTTGATAGTTTGATAGTTATGATAATTCAATTGGGCATACATATGAATTTCTTTACAAAAGAAAGAATAATGTAATCAAAACATTTTATTTTATTTTTTATTTTTTTTATTTTACTAAATAGTCAAGGACAGCCAACAAGTCTGCAAAATAAATTTCAATAATGTTTAAAAAGCATTGAACATTGTACCTGGGTGTATTACTAAATAATAATAATAATAATAATAATAATAATAATAATAAATTGTATTAGTAATGTAGCACTATTACTATTAATATTTTATAATATTAATATTAATATCATTATATAAATATAATTAGTAATATATAATTATATTAGTAATAAATGTAAAAAAAATCTTAATACTTTTATTTCTTCTTTCTCTCCCTATATATATATATGTGTTTGTATATATATACTTGTTTTTTTCATTGACAAATTTATATTCAAATAATATAATTTAATTATATAATGTATACTACTATTTTCCATTAATACCATAATCTTTTTAATTCATTTTAATATAACTTGTTAAAGGAAAATATTAGTATATATTATAATATTTTTAACTTAGAAAGGGAATATTTTCTTACGTTTATTTTTTTTGTTTTTATTAAATATTTTTAATTTTCTTAATTTTTTCCTTGATATGAGACCTCTCATTCTCTCTGCATGTGTCTCTCGGTCATATGGGAGAGTCCTTGTGAGGAGATAAATGCAGTTTCTGACAGGAGAGACAGAGTTCAGTCAACCATAGCAGCTTTCACTCAGAAAATCCTCAACACAAGGTCCGAGAGCATCTGCTGAGGTCATATCAGACATCACCTAACCCGACCCCAACTTTGATTCATCCTCAGCTCACACTTCGGCTAATGAACTCTATTATATGATGGAAGAAATGTTCATTCTTATTATTAATATAAATATTAAAAACTTGTTTGTGTCTTTTATCATATTATTTATTATCGAGTTTGCATGTCAGCAGTTGTTTAGTAAAAGAAAGCTAGCTGTTCAGCAAGAAAAAAGTGGATCTGTTACAGCCGGGAATCTTTTCCCTTCCCAAAACATCAGATGTCACCTTGCCTCCTGTGACAAGGGCAAAAAAATGTGTTTTTTATTTTTTTGATCAAAGATAACTCCCTTAAATTGGAAGTTCACAGACAACACCTGTCTGGAAGAGATAGGCACATGTGTTCAGACGAAAGATCTATTTCTCCTAACGTCTGCCGTTGATGGGCTACCGGTTGCTGGTAAAGATTGACCAAAATGTGGCGATTGACTGTAAATGGGCTGTGGTGGCCGGTAATGGACTCCTGCTGATCTCAGCACAGGTGTTGGTGTAACCCATCCAGACAGAGCGCATTTTCCCATTACAGGCCAGTAGAAAAGCCATCCACCAGCGGTTGTTGTTGTTGTAGTCCTTGATTGTAAGTTTAGGCTGGTCTGGGAGTGATGCAGTGTCAGATGGGGTCTATTAGGCATTGCTTGGCTGGTCTGCAGGTATGTTTTTAGGTTGAGGTGAGCCGTATCGCCCCATTTAATTTTGTCGCACAGCAAGATAAGGACACGTACTCTGGGAAATGTCGGGGAAAACACTCTTTTTCCTTTCCTTCCTTTGGACAGAAGACATTTTTGTTGGGAAAGACTGCTGGAGAACAAGTTTCCAATAGACAAAAATTCTCCAGCTGTCTTTATAAGTTACATAATTACATATTTTGTCCCGATGACCCTTCAAATATCCATACTGATATAGCTATAATCTCTCAATGTCTCAAATCTCTCAGAAAATCTCTAATTGATGTTATCTAGAGAATAGATACTAGTCTGCAGATAGAGAGTGAACGTGATGTCAGGTACTCACGCTGGCTATTATGCATCTCTAAATGGGGTTTTAAGAGTGGTCCTGGGAAATGTGTTCCTTGGCAGAGAGTTTGAGGTGGATTCCACTGCTCTGCCTGACAGGGACACCTGCTGGGAGAGAGAGGAAAACAACATGCCTCTGCAGAACCACAGACAGTTTTACTTATGAAAATTATATCAAATTTAAAACTATAGAACAAATTATATAGAATGTGATTACATATTACTACGATTTAATAATTTAAACAAAAATTGTGACAAATATGGTCATTTTTTGTAAGCGTCCGGTACAACAACAAACTCATTTATATATGGTCACTAATTTATATACATACTTTATATACGGTATATATACATACATAGTTTCATAGGTGTATTTTTGTTTAAATTATTAAAATGTAGTAAAATGTGTGTGTGTGTGTGTGTTTTTTTTTATTATTGTTAATTCATGATAATATAACATTTATAATGTATAATAATTATATATAGTATTAAAATTATGAATAATATATTTATTATGATTTTACAGTAATAGCAATAATTTATATATCTCCAAGCAGTGTGGGGGGGAGGGAAATATTTATTTATTTTACTATAGTAGCTATAGGATGGAAATATCATGATACTTTGACATAACCTTTGACAGAATAACCAGGATTACAGAACAACCATAATCATATACCATGGTATTATTTACATCAGAGGTAGGCCCTATATAAAAATACCATGGTATTGTCATAATACTTGGCATATCGGTAGTTTTGTTGTATTGTGCTTAAAGATCGATAAAGATTGTTGCATAGAAAATTTTAATGTGATCAATTCGTGAGTATAATACTTTTTGTGCTTGTATCTACTGTAGGAAGCAGAAGTGGTTGTTGTGTGCGCACACGCGCATGTGTGTGTGTGTGTGTGTGTACCTAGTATTTATCACGTTATGGGGACAAAATCAGGTAATACTAGTAAATTTTGAGGTCCCCATAAGGAAACAAGCTTATAAATCATGCAGAATTAGTTGTTAGAATTTTGAGAAAGTAAAAATGCACACAGTTTCCTGTAAGGGGTAGGTTTAGGGGTAGGGTTGGTAAAGGGCAATAGCACATACAGTTTGTACAGTATAAAAACCATTACGCCTATGTAATGTCCCCATAAAACATGGAAACACAACATGTGTGTGTGAGTGTGTGTGTAAATGTGAGCCGTGGGAGTGTGTTTGTGCTGTGGAATGAGGCTCTGCTCACGGACGAGTGCGTAAGGCAGCGCACAAGCAGGGTCTCGCCACCGGAGGGATCAGAGAGAAAAACGGCGCTCACCCGAGCCTGCCTTTGATCCCTGTCCCCGGGCCTACTCGCCTGCACCGTACCGCACAGCACAGCACAGCGCGCTAACACCAGCCCTCGCCAACCGCTGCTCGCGACTGTCAGACAGAGATAAGCACAGAGAAGCTTCAACCCTCTCCCTCTTCCATTAGTCCTTCTCGGAAAAAAAGGGGATGAATTACGTTTAAGAACCCTATGCTGGCGTCGACTAAAAAGGAAAGAAACCTACCTCAGAAATTTCAAGTTCTCGCTTCTCTTGCCGTCTCCCTCGCCTCGCAGTTTTGACAAGACATTTGGCACGTGAATATCAACGAGCCGCGGAGACTCATGTAGTCCCACACATTATTAAAAACTTGTGCATTAAGCCGCAGACTGGGCACCGTGTCAGCTGGCACGCTCTCCCGACGAACGAATC